AATCAATTTCCTTAATGAGCAGGATTGGCAAAGTGTGCTTGTAGGCATAAGATCCTTACTTCGGGTAGGGAGATGCGTTGTAGTATCATTGTTCGACCTAAGTGTCCCAAAAGGTCGTGCCAAAGCAAGTAAACTGCTCAATCACTAGGCTTCAAGCCGGCCACATGTGATGTATTCCCAGTTGGGAGACAACCCATTAGCCCAAAATCAAAGCTTTAGACTCATTTTTGGAGATGGTGCAAAGATATTTCACTTTATTTTCTTCAGTGGTTTCATTTATGATCATTGTCATCTTGAATATCCTTAAAAACTCAACGTCAGGGAGAATTTAAGGTCCCTTAAATGGTGATGTAGTACCATTCATACAACGATGAGCGTGCCAATGCTTTTAATCAGGTTGGATAGACCTAAAGTCATTGTTAGAGATGTGATTTAGGTGTAAAGTTAGTGTGCGTAGTACATATTCATCCAAACAACTAACTTTCCCATATTCCTACCTAATTACGTGTTTAATTGAATTGGTCACATGTATTAAGAAACATGATTCAATTAACTCATATTCGAGGACAATATCATTAAGATTATCCATAAGTAAAATATACACCAAACTTGAATCCAAGAACATGGAAAAATATTCACAAAGTAAACCAAAGTTACTAGGGTGGATTCTGCTAACAAAGCCATCCATGTCAAAATTCTGCTTTTCTAACGATGTTTGGTGGAGCAAAAGTAGTCTCACATATTAACTACTAGAATGGTACTCCTTAACAACATTGGTAGGGGCACGAACAAGTGTATAACCAATGATCTATTCCATCAAGACAGAAGTAGATTTTGCAGGGTTAAGGTTTGAGAATACTATCCCTTATTCTTGGAGTTTAAGGTTTTAGGTGCCAAGGATCATGCTTCGGGCATTATGCCACACCTTGGCAGTCCCTGATTCTACCATATGTTGTAAAAACAAACTCCAAATTGGATTGTGAGAGAGTATGCCATTCAGTGTATGCTTGCCAAAGTGGTGCATCACCATTCGGTTAGGCTTTGACCGAACTGGGTCGAGCCATTCGGTAGACTCCAGCCGAACTGGGTCCATACCTTTCTCTCACATTTGTGGTAGCAATCAGATCCGAGAATTTGGTAAACTTCCTCTTTCTACACTACTACTTCAGGGGCAAGTTAGAAACATGAAAGACGAGAAAAGTATTCTCTAGTCAAAATTTGATCGGATTTATAAACTTCAAAATTGTACTCATTTATGGACGTAATCATGGTGTGCTTCAGGCAATATCTTTCATAATTAAACGGTCCATAGAAGTGAGCCAAAGAGCCATGGAATCCTTGTTCATGAGGTATTTCCATTTGTAATGCTTCGGGCACAAGTCTTTGAACAAAGATCATGGCGGAGGCTTATTCAGCTCTTCCTTGCCATTGTTGGCTACAATGGTTTCTCAGCTTCTTGATAGTCAAATGGAGATTCACGTCTTGTACCCACATAAAATGGTTTCTAATAGAAATATCCAAATCAGGGAAATCGAACTTGTGACAGTTCGACAATCCATTGAATTGAAGGGAACACGATTGTGATTGTTGCTGTGGGAATAAATCATCCATAAGCATCAAAGTTAGAACATTCAGGTTCTAAGACATGGTTTTCATGAAAAATTCAGGTTTTCATGGGTGTATTGTTTTATGAAAACTTCGGGTTTCAAAGGCACTAAATTTGAAACTATAGGTTCAATTTAGTTTATGAACATTTAGTTCATAAAAGAGAGGTTCCTGCAAGAAACACAGAATGCAATATACAACTAAGTGTAGTGGATTTAAGGTTCTTCGGGAACTCAAGTGTTAGAGCTTTGTTACTACGAAAGTATGTCAACGGTTCAAAGTATAAAAATAAATTATTGAATCGTTAATGTCCAAAAGTGATCTTCAGGTCAATAATTTTGGATTCATTATTAGATTAATGGACTGCAGGTCACTTTTAATTAATTCAACAGATCGGGACCATTCGGGGTCAATCGTAGAAGCAAAATAATTATAACATTAGGGTTAAAATTATTTAAAATGCCAAAAATTAGCATTAGATTCCAAAAGCCATAACCCAATAACATTGGGCTTGGGTGCCATGAGTAGGGCACCAAAAATATGGGTTGAAAAGAAGAAAAAACAAGCCAAAACTTGGCTTTTGGGCTGAGAAAATGAGGCAGCCCAACATTGGATTGCTGGCTACTGCTTTAGACAAGCTCATGTAGCCTTAAGCTGCGGGCTGGGCTCGGGCAGGTTGCAAAAGCAGCCCAATTGGGCATGCAAGTTGCAAGCTTTAAGCAAAGATGAGTAGGGATGTAAGACAAGGTCCAGCATGCTATTGCTGCTGGTAGATTTGGGTCGAGAGCATGGGATAGGTCCAAAAGGGAAATGCTGCAGGTTTCCTTTATAGAGTTGGGCTATGAGCCCTAGTCAAACTAGTTAAGGTGAAGGCCTGGTGTGTCCATGTGCTCTGTAGCAAAGCCCAGAAGGTTGCTGCCAAGGTCCATATGTTGAAGCGACGTCATTTTTAGGAGTGTCTCCACAAGGCTGGGATTCGGGCCAGTATACTGGTCCTCACGGTCGTGGCGCCGCATGATGTCCAATTTCCCTTCTTTTTGTTTTTCTTTTCGAAATTTCTAGGGTTGTAGAAACCCTAATATGCTTCTAGTTTATGAATATACTTTGACTCACAAATTCTACATAGCGATTTAATTGTGTAATGCATGAAACAAATATATATATATATATATATATTGACAAATATATGAACATATACAATATATATATCAGAAGGAAAATATAAACATAGGGGGTTCATACATCATGATGAATGTTTTCATGCTTTAAGGTTGTTTCAAATATCTTACTTTATTTTAAGCATACCTGATTGGTAGAAAACAACAAAAACCTTTGAATTTGTAGAAGTTCCTTCTTGGAAAGCTGGAATTGCATCTCCAATGCGTTGTATCACGTTCAACATAGAAAAATTAAATGGAATCAATAACATGTAGATTAATTTAATAAAATAATAAATCAATCATAAAAAGAATAATTAAAACGTAATACTCCCCTGATTGGAGGTCAAACTTTGCTTAGCGCAACGTCAAGAGTGTGCTGATAACGTGCTGTAGGCATAATTTACTGAACAATTATGGAGGCCAGAAAGAGAGAGAGGGTGCGGCATAGAGAAAAAAGAGAGATATGTGTAATTGTGGGTGTGTGTTATTCCACCTCTTTTTGCCTTTATTTATAGTAGTAGGGAAGGTTAATTCCTTACCTTTAGAATTACAATATTTAATAGGTAATCTAGTCTTAATAAGAATATATATTCTCATATATACTAGAATTTACACAATCACATTCTTATTCCAATATGACTGCAATAGAACCGTCGTTTTATTTTATTATATAATTCATGGTTTAATTAAACCATTGTTCTTAATTAAACACAGTTGTTTAATTAAAGAAACTTGTTTTAGATTTTCACTAATCATTTACGACCATTTCACCACTTGCAATTGCATTTTTCTATTTTACATTAATACATGTATGTATCACGACCAAGTAAGAAAAGATTAGCTCTATACATGATCCCACGTAATCAAACAAATATGACATAACACTCCCTTCGAATACGGCACTCTGTTTTATTTTGATTTTTCGAATCGAATCATCTACTTTCCAAGTCTCTGTTCATAATAAATAAAGTATATAAGTCGTATACTATCATACCACAATTTAATACTACATGACAAGAAATTTGTAAATGTCAGGTTGTTTGTATATAATAGGTCAATCAATAACTTTATTTCATTGAATATTAGTTCAATATGTCTCGTGGCCAATAAGATCTCTCTGGATCTTTTTGACGAGGATCCAGAAAATTTGTAAATCTTGTCTATTTATCGTACATATTGCAGTCTGTTTTTGTCAGGTACTGTTTGTATTTAAATAAAAATATTTAAAATAATTTATGACTGCACGATGTACAATGAACGGATATGATTCACATATCCTCGCCTCACGGATCCCCGGAATCCTCACAAAAAGGATTCGGATTTGTTTTGTGGAACATCATGTGGCATTTTGTTTTGTTTTTGTTTTTTTTTTTTTTTTTTTTTTTTTTTGAAGTGAAAGTACATCATGTGGCATTAAATTATGGTATAAAATATAAATTTTAGAAAACTTAAAAATTCATACCCTTACCTCTTATTAAGAAGGAAGAAGGAAGAATGTGAAAAGTAAGGTTCTAAAAGACGCTAGGCGTTAGTCGGGCGGTAGGCTGAGGCCTAGCGCCTAGGCAGCTAGGAAGGGTTTAAGCAGGCACCTGAGCGGATTTAATTAAATCTATTATATTTCGTATAAATAAATGTATGTTTATGCTTAAAATATATATAATTTCATCATAAACTACAAAATAGAATGACATATCTATTATGAGCTATTGGAACATAATGAAAACGTGAGAACACACATATAATGTGTGTTCATTTAAGTATTCAACAACAATTTATTGAAAAAATAAAATGCAAAATGAAAATTATCCATTCTATCTAAGTGAGTCGCAACCTAGGTAGATTTGGGCGGCCTAGGTTGTTTAGACGGGCGCCTCAGTAGGTCTAGACTCTATTTCATAATTTTCAAACGCCTAAATATTAATTGAGGTGGTGGCTAGTTACCTAGCGCTTAGATGGGGGCATATGCGGTATTAGGTGAGAATTTTTAAGATAGTGGTGAAAAGTAGTAAAATAAACCCAAAATAAAGACGAGGGTAGAGACTAGGTTCTAGATTCTAGACTGTAGATGCCACCAAGTCAATATAAGTGGAGAAGAGAAGATCCATTTTCCGTTGTTTTGTTTTTCTCTTTGAATTTTATATCCTGCCCTCAACCATTAATCACATAAAATACTCGTCGCTTCCTTGTAAAAACTAAAAAGAGAAGGGTAGCTAACTACCCCGCCATACCAGAGATTCTCTCCCGCCATTGACACACCCTCCCTCTCCGACCTCCCGCCATTTTCTTCTTCTGCCCCGAACTCTTATACAAAATAAAGAATAAAAATGCCGGGGTGCTTCAGCATAATAGCGTCACGCGACCGCTGCTTCCGCTACTCCTTCTTCTCCTCCGGCCTAAAGTCCACCACCACCGATTTGGGCGATGGCACCGTCATGCACTGCTGGGCTCCCAAAAACCACTCCCCATCCAAACCCACCCTCCTCCTCATCCACGGCATCGGCGCCAACGCAATGTGGCAGTGGCACGACTTCGTCTCCCCTCTCGTCTCCCGCTTCAACCTCTACATCCCCGACCTCGTCTTCTTCGGCGACTCCTACTCCTCCCGCCCTGAACGTTCTGAGATTTTCCAGGCACGCTGCGTCATGGCCCTCATGGACGCCCACGGAGTCAAGAAAATGATGGTCACCGGCATCAGCTACGGCGGCTTCGTGGCCTACCGCATGGCGGCGCAGTTTGGGGAAAGAATAGACAGGCTGGTGCTGTGCTGCGCCGGTGTGTGCACGGAGGAAAAGGATATGGAGAATGGGATGTTTCAGGTGAAGAGCGTGGAGGAGGCCATGAATGTTTTGTTGCCCCAGAAGACTCAGCATGTTAGGGACTTGATGAAGATCTCTTTTTACAAGCCTGTTAAGAATGTCCCCTCTTGTTTTCTCAATGATTTCATTGAGGTAATTTACCCAGTTCTCTGCCTTGATTTCCTCTCTTTACTTTACTTCCTTTTTAATAATAGTTTTGTTGCATATTTTATTGAGAAATTGGCCGGAATGATCATTTTCCGAATCCTAATTGCTAAAGTGATCAGTTTTGATATTTTGATCATCAAAGTTGTCTATGTTTGATTGATATGTCGTCAAGATTTGATTTTGATTTATTTCCCCAACTAGATTCTGATTTTTAATCATTTTCTGGATTGGGAATGAATTTCTATGTTTCTTGGTGCATAGTATTGGGTTTGATTCCTGTTAGCAATTTATAAGTTTATATTCAGAAAGTCAAATTAAAGTTTTAATTCTTCCTCCTAATAATTGAAGCCTGATAAGTGTGCAAATTAATACTGTTGCTGCTCTGCAGAAACATACATTTCAGTACTGTATTTTGTATATGCAAAGTAGTTTGAAACAAACTTTAAAAAGAAATAGAGAGGAGGGGAGGTGTAGGTGGAAGAAGCTAGCATATTCACACAGTTTCTGGGATCATACATGAATCAAAAACTAAATAAATTCTCGATTCGTTCACTAGTGACAATAGAATCAGGCTTTCAAACTGTGAGAGGGTAGCATCCAAGCAAACATTGAAAGCAATGTTTGTGTATGTGAATACGTGTACAGCATGATATGATGCAATACGAATTTTTAGGAATTAGTGACTATCACCATCAGTTTTCGGGATAAACATACCTTTCTTCTGTTCTGGTCTATTACCGTCAGCGACAATAATTTGTATCTCTTTTGATGTCTGTTTTGGACTTTGCTTTACCTAGCAATAGAAGTAGTATCACAGACACACAGCTTTCCCTTGTTAATTCAGGAGTATGTGTGACTCAATAGCAACTCCCCACTGTGAATTGGAGTCTTTAGGCTGCTAGAAACTGCAATTCATTGTAATAATGTGCTTATAAAATATTTGATTGCCGCTGATTCTGCTGGCGGCAATAGTGGTACATAAATTTCATTTCTCACCACATGATTGTGATGTCAGTCCTTTTTTTTTTCCATACGAATTTAAGATGTTAGTGCTAAATGTTTCTCTTTTCCGAGTGCGATATGGAATACTTGTATTAGTTTAACCTGAAACTTGTCTTATGAATTTGGTTGGCACTGGCCGCAGGTGATGTGTTCAGAACATCTTCAAGAGAGGAAAGAATTGATTCAAGCACTACACAAGGACAGGAAGTTGTCTGATCTTCCGAAGATAAACCATGTAATTTTGCATTATATTCAAGTTATTGATCTAATAAAGGTGGCTGTTTATCGTTTTTGGTTTTCTGGAGTTTTCAAGGGCTTAATTTCTTCTTGATGCAGCCTACACTAATCATCTGGGGAGAGCATGACCTGGTATTCCCACTGGAATTGGCGCACCGATTAAAAAGGTAAATCGCGCAGCTTAATTATTTCAATGTCACTGTTACTTCTAGAAATATTTGCTGCATGAATGAAGTACAGAACATTATGATTGAGATAAACCAAAATCATTGGTTATCTCCACTTCGACTCTTTTGGTTTCTCTAAGTTACTGCTGCAAAACGAACGATTGTACATCCTTCAATGGGAAGACTACTTGATCTTAAAATCCTTACATAGAGATCCTTGCAGAAGTTGAGCAGGTCTACAAATCAAATTTTGGAAAAGCGCTTAGTCTTACTGTTCTCCCTTTGCAGGCAAATAGGTGAGAGTGCAGACCTAGTGATCATAAAGAACGCAGGGCATGCTATAAATGCAGAGAAACCGAAAGAGATGTGCAAGCACATGAAGTCTTTCCTCATCGACCCTCTCCCTACAGTTAAACATAAAAACCACAGCAACGGCCGCAAGGTGGATTGAAATGCCAAGAAAAGGTGTCGACTAATCAAGATGATCATTTTCTGATTTTCATTCAAACCTACACTATTGGATATGAGGTTCCGTATGGTGGATTGTCTGTGCGAGTTGAATTTTATGCTAGTAATTATTTTCTATATTCAGAAGACAGAAAATTGCTTCGTTTTCCATTAAAACATGATTTATGCAGATCTTTCTTCTAATGCCTGTATTGTTAGTGAGTAAATTGATGAACTGATTAGTGAAGATTATAAGTTTATATTTGTGTTATGCCTCAGCTTATAGGCTGAGTTTGTGTGTTAAAAATGTAATGTGTTGGTTAAGTCTCATAGGGCTTAATACTGGACAAGTGTCTTAATCTCAGAGTAAGATGTAATGGATGGCTGAGATTGAATTTAGAAATGTGTCCATCTCTCTCTCACCTCCAACGGTTAAATGTGCTAATGTATGAGCTCACATGCTCAGAGTGAGTGTCCGCAATATATGGAAGATTGCAGAGGGATATTCTCTAAGATTTTTCTGATCCAAATTCTTCTCTTCTTCTTCCTCAAATTCTCTGAGTTTCTCTTCCATAACCACTGCTAGAATTCCTGTTTAATTTGAATCCTTTAACATGGCCTCAGAGCCAGGTTGGGTCTGAATTTCCGGGCATTGTGTTTGTCAGAAGGGTGAGCTCGGATTCACAGCAAAAGCTCATTGCAATGATTCGAGTTCATATCAGCGATCAAGTCTAACATGGCTGGATCTGGAGGAGGAGAACTTAGAGCCCTAGTATTCAATGGTGAAAATTTTGATTTCTGGCAAATCAAAATGAAGACCATTTTCCGTTCACACAAATTGTGGGATTTGGTTGAAAATGGGTATGAAACTCCGGTGAAGAAGGAAAAGGAGCTCACAGAGGTGGAGAAGAAGTTGGTGCATGAGAATGTGGTCAAGGATGCTAGAGCACTTGGAATCATCCAAGATGCTGTTTTAGATCAAATTTTCCTGTGAATCGCAACCCAGGAAAGTGTAAAGGCTGCGTGGGACATTCTGAAACAAGAATTCGTTGGTGATAAGCAAGTAAGATCTGTGAAAATTCAAGGTCTTAGATGAGATTTTGAATATACTCGCATGAATGATAGTGAATATCTCTCTATGTATATTGTTAAATTGTTCGATTTGATTAATCAAATGAGAAGCTATGGTGAAGATTTGAGTAATCAAAGAATTGTTCAGAAATTGCTGATTAGCTTACCTAAATCCTATGATAGTATTGCAGCTTTGATAGAAAATACTAAGGATTTGGATACCATAGATGCTCAGGATGTTGTTGCAATTTTGAAGGGTTATGAACAAAGGCTTGATAGACATGGTGAAAGAAGTATGGAGAAAGCATTTGTTAGTTTGAACATTGCATCAAAACCAAATAGGTTTAATGGTCAAACAAACAATAGCAAATACCAGAAAAACTTTAGGCCAAAAGGGAAACAGTGGAGTAACAAGGCTGATTGGGGTAGTAAGGCTAGTTTCCCTGTGAAGAATGATGCAAATAACATTGGGGATAAGTGTAAATTCTGTGATAGACTTCACTATAGGGAGTGATGGGTTAAGAACAAGGTCAAGTGTCATAAGTAGCAGAATTGGGCATATTGTAAGGTACTGTAATACAAACAAGGCTATGTAACAAGTGAATTTTGCTAATCAGGTTGAAGAAACTGGAAACCTATTCTATACTAATCATTTTGGAGAAGCAAGGAAGTTAAGTGATGAATGATACATAGATAGTGGATGTCGTAATCATATGACATCCAGGGAAGATTTGCTTGTTAACATTGACAGAAGGGTGAAAGACAAAGTCCAAGTAGGCACTGGAGTCTTGGTTGAAGTGGCAGGAAAATGGACATTGGTCATTGAAATAATGAATGGTAGGAGATATATAAAGGAAGTTATGCTTGTACCTGGTCTTGGAAAAAATTTGCTAAGTGTAGGACAGATGACCGAGCATGGTTACTTTCTTCTATTAGGAGATTATAAGGTGGATGTGTTTGATGACAAATCTCTAAGAAACTTGGTGGTCAGTGTGAAACAGAAAGGGAATAGGTGTTTTCCTCAGCACAAACAAAGAGTTTGCATTGAGAAAAAATGTGCAAGAGTGCAAAGATATGGCACAAAAGGTTTGGTCACCTAAATTTCAGGAGTCTCAAGCTATTACAGAGTCAATGAATGGTATTGGGCTGCCTGAAATTCAAGATAGTGATGCAGTGTGTCAAGGGTGTGCACTGGGGAAGAATCACAGGGAGTCATTTCCCAAGGAATCAAAGTGGAGAGCAAAGGATCCACTAGAATTAATACACTCAGATGTGTGTGGTCTTATGCAAACACCAAGTTTGAGTGGAAAGAGGTACTTCATTACTTTCATAGATTATTATTCAAGGATGTGCTAGGTCTTTTTTTTTTTTTTTTTTGAGAAACAAATCAGATGCCTTCCATATGTTTAAGAAGTTTAAAGCTATGGTAGAGCTTCAATGTGGATACTCTGTGAAGAGGTTGAGAACAGATAGGGGAGAAGAGTTTACTTCAAATGATTTTGGAAGTTTTGTGAAGACTTGGGGATAGAAAGACAACTTACTATTGCAAATTCTCCACAACAGAATGAAGTTGCAGAAAGGAAAAACAGGACTGTTGTGGAGATGGCAAAATGCATGATTCATGAGAAAGAACTCCCTTACAATCTCTGGTGTGAAGCAGTGAACCCATATGTGTACCTGCATAACAGAAGTTTTACAAAGGCTTTGGGGAACTTTACACATTTTGAGAAATTCAGTGGAAGAAAACCTGGGATTAAACACATGAAAGTGTTTGGTTCAGTGTGTGACTCTTTTATTCCAGGAAATTTGAGGTACAAATTAGAAGAAACAAGTGTCATAGGTGTTTTCATTGGATATGGTGCCTGTGAGAAGGGGTATATGGTGCTGAATCCTACAACTCAAAAGGTTTTGCTATCTAGGGATGTAATCTTCGATGAGAATGCTAAATGGGACTAGGAGAAGCACAAAGTCAAAGAAGTATGCATTCCACTATCTGCAAATGAATATCTGAAAATGAATGGAGTTAATGATGATGTTGTATCGGGATGTTCTCAAGTCTAAATTGAAGACTCTCTAGCTACTGTCTCTGGTGAACCAAGCAGTTCAAGTTCTTCATATCAGTATGATCATACTCCAGTAAGGTACAGGAACTTGAGTGGGATTTATGAGAGATGTCATTTGTGCATTGTTGAACTCGAAGATTTTAATGAAGCTGCACAGGATGAGGCATGGAAAAAGGCAATGGAAGATGAAATGAGCATGATTCAGAAGAACCAGACATGGCAATTGGTAAGGAGACTATTTGATAAGCCTGTGATTAAGGTAAAATGGGTGTATAAAACTAAGTTGAACTTAGATGGCTCGGTTCAAAAGAATAAGGCTAGGCTAATTGCAAAAGGCTGGGATAGACTATAATGAAACCTTGGCACCTGTGGCAAGGTTGGATACCATAAGAACTCTTATTGCAATGGCTGCAAAGAACAATTGAAAGCTGTTTCAATTGGATGTGAAATCAACTTCTTAAATGGGGTACTTGAAGAGGAGGTGTATGTAGATCAGCCAGATGGATTCATTGTGCAAGAAAAAGAGGATAAGGTCTACAAATTGCACAAGGCTTTGTATGGATTGAAGTAGGCACCTAGAGCCTGGTATGGAGAGATAGATTTTTATCTTGCGTAGTGTGGTTTCAAAAAAAGTACCAGTGAGGCAACATTATATACTAAGTGTAGAGGAGACTCAGATTTGATCATTGTGTCTATATATGTTGATGATATGGTCTATACTGGAAGTTCTCAGGAGTTAATGGAGGAATTCAAGATTGATATTATGCACAAGTATGAAATGACAGATTTGGGCTTGTTGCACCATTTTATGCAAACTGAAGACTGTATGTTCATACATCAGAGGAAGTATGCCTCAACTCAGTTGAAGAAGTTTGGGCTCCAAGATTGTAAATCTTTGAGCATCCTACTTGTACCAAATGACAAACTGAGAAAAGATGATAACAGTGGAGCTGCAGATGAATCTCAATATAGGAAAATTGTGGGAAACTTGCTGTATCTCACAGCAACAAGGCCTGATATAATGTATATTGCATGTCTGTTAGCAAGGTTCATGCATTGTTAACAAGTACTATGGGACAGCAAAGAAGATACTTAAATATGTTTAGGGAACTCTGAATTTTAGTTTAGAGTACAAGAAAGGCAAAAGGGCAATTCTGATAGGCTTTTGTGATAATGATTGGAGTGATTGGAGTGGTTCAGAAGAAGATATGAAGAGCACATATGGTTATGCTTTTACATTTGGTAGTGGTTCCTTTTCTTGGGCTTCTGTCAAGCAACAATGTGTTGCTTTATCCATAGCTTAAGCAGAGTATATCAGTGCATCGGAGGCAATTGCATAAGCCACTTGGTTAAGATTTGTGTTGGAAGATTTTGGTGAAATGCAATCTATTGGAACACCATTGAACTGTGACAACACTTCAGCTATTGTTATCACTAAAAATCCTATATTTCATCAAAAAACCAAGCATATCAACATAAGGTATCATTTCATCAAGGAGGCATTGCAACAAGGAGTGATTGGCTTGATTCACTGTCCTACAAAAGAGCAAGTTGCTAACATTTTTACAAAGGCGTTGGTGAGGGAGCAATACACATATCTTAGAGATCTTCTTGGAGTGAAATCAGTCCACAATTTAAGGGGGAGTGTTAGTGTGTAAATTGATGAACTAATTAGAGAAGATTATAGGTTTACATTTGTGTTATGTCTCAGCTCATAGGCTGAGTTTGTGTGTTAAAAATGTAATGTGTTGGTTAAGTCTCATAGGGTTTAACATTGGAGAAGTGTCTTAATCTCAGAGTAAGATGTAATGGATGGCTGAGATTGAATTTAGAAATGTGTCTATCTCTCTCTCACCTTCAACGGTTAAATGTACTAATGTATAAGCTCACATGCTCAGGGTGAGTGTCCACAATATATGGAAGATTGCAGAGGGATATTCTCTGAGATTTTTCTGATCCAAATTCTTCTCTTCTTCTTCCTCAAATTCTCTGAGTTTCTCTTCCATAACCACTGTTAGAATTCTTGTTTAATTTGAATTCTCTAACATGTATTTGCATATGATAAGCAGTGTGAAATGTTTCCTTACCATATTGACTGGCAACTTAAGATTGTTGTATCAGCGGAT